CACACACACACACACACTCATTGCACGTTCATGTAGGGAGCTCCATGAGCAGATCGTCGAGTGTGTATATGCCAAAGGCCAGACATGGCGGCTGTTGCGTGGTCGGCCGGACAAGTCGGAGCCCAACCAGATGACCACTGCGCGCAATGTCTTCCGCTCGATTCAGGAGAATCTGGATGAGCCGCGTCTGCTGGCCTCCATCGAGGCGTCGGTTCGCCGGGTGAGGGAAAAAGGCTTCCCCCGGGAGAAGCCCCACGATTTCTTCACCAATGCGCACCCTGGACGGGGACCGGGCGGCGGGCCGCCCGGGTTCGGGCATTTTCCACCAGGCCCCGGTGGCCCGGGCGGGCCCCAGCACCTCCATCCTATGCACGGCATGCCGCCGCACTTTGGACCTGGCGGGCACTACCTCCCGCCGCATGGGGCCCCGCCGGGGCATCATTACCCGCCACCGGTCGGCGCGATGTCTCCCCATTTCCACCACTCCGGCGGTCCGGGGCCCATGATGAACCGCAAGCGCCCGGGGATATCCTGGCCCGGTGGTGTGCATCCCTATGCCTCGCCCGCGGCCGCGGCCGCGGGCAGTGTGGCGGCTCCTGTCCCCGGACCGGCGCCCCCGGCAGCGGTGCAATCTTCCGGTCCCTCCTCGGTGGCCGGCAGTGCCGCCACCCCGGCCCCGGTCGCCAGCAGCACGGCCGACTCGCTCGCGTCTGCGGCCACTTCCGCCCTGGCTACTGGCACCGACCCCCATTCGTCCCCCTTCTCGGACGACTTCACCGATATCTCAGACACCAGCTTCTCTTCGAGCTTCAACCCGACCTCCGACTCGCCGCCCTCTCCGCGCCCGGAGGAGGCAGAGGGCCACCCAGCGAAGCGCTTCAAGTCATAGAGCATGCACACTCCTCCCATGCTCGGCCCCGTTTGGCCTTGGTTGTCGGGGAGGGGGGCGTTTCCCCTTGGCACCGTGGCCGTGTGTGTGCCCTGTCCATGGCGCCACTCTTGCCACAATACACACTTACACGTAGAATGTCCGCTTGATTCTTTTGAGGGCCGTCGGCAGCATGGAGGATGCGGCCCATTCCGGGGGGCATTGTCAATTGCAGTCGGCCATCGGCAGCCGGCATGTGCTCCCCATCAAGGCCGCCCTAGCCCTCTTCATCCCAGGCGTAGGACAGCGAAAGGAAGGTCGACACGATGGTCAGTAGGTCGGCCGAATCGAGAGGCCGGGGGAGCTCGGCCGGCGATCCTGGCACAGGGCCACCCGGCTGTGATTCGCCGCTGCCAGCGATTGGCAAGTTGCCGGCCAGGAGGATGACCGCGCGCAGGATGTCCGTGTCCAATTGGCCGGAGGCCACGCGCAGAAGGGCATGCTGTCGCCCGGCCATGTCCAGGAGGATGCCCCGGTTGCGGAAGGGCAAATCCGTCTCCTGGCAAAGGGGATTGACTGCCAGGTCGGCGGTCAGCAGGAGGAGATCATGCCGATGCTCGTTGTGCGCCACATCGCCGGGCATGCTCAAAAGCCAGGCCACCAGGAGGGCACACTGATCCAATCGGCAGGATGCCAGGAGCGCCTGTGCCAGGGAGACACGGCGAGTGTGAAGGGCAGTCATGGCCACCGTCGCCGCCTCGGCGCTGGATGGCTCCACGCGTCCGAGCAGTACATCGGCCACCAGAGGCACCAAGCACAAGATCGCCGACAAGGAGGGCGGCTGGCCGCTCAGGGCAGCCACATGTGCGTGGACCTGCTCCAGGAGCGCGCTTGGCGAGTGGAGCTGAAGCGCGGATCCGAGGCCAAAACTGAAATCAAAGGGTGCGCATGCTTGTAAGTGTCTTGACCGGAAGAGGAAAAAGAGGGCGGCGGGGAGCGGCACGGGGAGGCGTAGGTGTTGAGATGGGGAAGCAAGTTGAAGGCATGTCCAGGAGTGTATCACCACACTCGCTGGGGGGCAAAGCCGGAAAAGGAGGAGCCCAGCGAGGGCGGCTGATGGGAGGTGGGCGGCATGGTGGATGGGGGAGGATGGCGTATGTTCCCACCGCCTGGCAATATCCATGACAAAAGCCGCGCCGGGGACGGCTCGCCCTCCCGGGACAGCGGCACACCCGATTCCCCCTGCACGTGGAGGTGGCCGGGCATTGCCTGCTGTTTCTTCGGGGCCAGGGGCCGTCCTCAAGCGAGTTCCTCCGGTGGGCATGCCAGTGGCCGTGGAAAGGGCGATCGATGTGGCTCGGCAGAAAAGCCGCCACCCATGCGGTTCCACGCCAAACGTCCCAATCCAACACATACACACACACACACACATACAGACACACGCTGGGACCCGCTCCTGCTCGAGATTGGCCCCTCAATCTAGTCTCGGTATCTGTCCGGTTCACGACGTCGGATGAGCCGGTCCATGACGAGACATCTGCAAAGAGGAAGGGGGAGGGGGAGGAGGAGGAGGGGAAGGGCGAGGGAGCAAGGCTTTGGGGGGAGGGCAGGCTAAATGGGGGAAGGTGCGCACCTGAGCTGAGCACCAGTGAGAGCAAGGAAGGATCGATGGATGGCCGACGTCCGATGGTGTGCCTCTCGCCGGGCGACATATTGGTCGTTCAAGCGCTGGGAGCGCTCGAAAAGATCACCCAGGGCCGCGGGTTTCAGCAGCTGGGCCGAAGAGGCCGCCGGGCCGGCGACAGGCACATACACGGGCAGAGACGCGCCGCCGGTTGCCCCGGCCGCCGAGCCGGCCGGCGCCAGGACTTCCAGCTCCGCGGCCAAAGTGCGGAACTGGCTGACGGCGGAGCTCACCGATGCTCCGGCCACCAGGGCCGGTCGCGCGGTCGAGGCACCAGCCTCCGGCCCGGCCGCCGCCAATAAGCCCCGGGCGACCAATTCCACCGGGCTTCGGGGGAGAGACACCGCCGAAGCGGCCTCGGGCGGGGCCCAGACAAAGGGCTCCTCCTCGGTTAGGCGATACACCGGCACAGCCGGCGCCAGGCATGAGGCCAGGGCCATGAGGGAGGCTGCCGCGCGCACGGCATCCAAAGGACCGGGTCCTGTGCCTCGGTCGGCCATAGCAGATGGAGCAGATCCGGAGGCCGTTTCCGAGAAGGCCCGGCCCACCAGCGAAGCAGCCGTGGCCACCGTGTGACGAAGGTCCGGGATGCGACTGGCCAGCAGTCGGGGTGCCGGAAGGGCGGCGCCTTGCTCGACCGGCATCATGTTGTCCCCGGGCTCCAGGACAAGCAGGCCGCTGACGACGGCCGGCGAAGTGAGCGGCCGCAGGGCATTCCAGCTGAGACGCGCATCGAAGTGGTGCTCATGCGAAGCCAGCGCCAGCGACGCCAGGATCCGGGCCCAGGCGGCCAGCGAGCGCCCGGTGCAAGACCCATCCGACCGGCCGCCAACCTCGCCAGTGGCCCACGCCGGCAGGTCCAAACGCAGGAGCCGTGCCAGCTGCCAGACATTGGTCCCGGCATCGGCGCCGGTGGTGCCCGGGCGCCGACCAATGGCCTCGATGGATGGGACCACCGCCCGACCGCGCGTTGTTTCGATCAAATCCAAGCACACACGCAGGCGTCGGACATGGATGTGGTCCGGCACAGCGGCCGCATCGGCCGAGCCCTGGCCGGCTGCCATCCCCCGGAGGAGGCCGGCCCCGCGACTTGACAATTCCCCGTTCAGGGAGCCCCCACTGGAGGCGCCGGGGGACATCGCCGGGTCCCACCGGAGACCGGCCAGCTGGCCAGGGTGCAGTGGGACCCCGGGGCTGAGCTCGGCCCCGGCTGTCGCCAGCGCCAGCGCCGCATCGATGTGGTCCCGCTCACGCTGGACCGCCTCATGCTCGGCCGGGGCCAGCACCAGGCTGGGAGGATGGCGCCGGACGCGGGGGCCATTCGAAAGTCAGGGCATTGCTTTGCTTTCCCCCCCCCCCCCCACCCAGTCGTGTCCCGCCCGCGGTAAGGCAAAGGCAATCCGGCCGATGGGCCCCCAGCAGAGGTACGTACCAGCTGCGGGCCTTGGCGAGCCCCTCGCCCTGGCGAAGGTCGGCCTCGGAGTCGAAGAAAGCTCGCGCAGCCCCGACGCACAGGGCCACCTGGTCCTCCTCGGTCAGGGGGCAGCGTGCCCAGTCGACCGGCTGTTGCGGGCGACGCAGGAAATACTCGCGCACATGCGAGAACCCTGCAACAAAGGCGGGGGAGGGGGGGGGGAGGGGAGGCCAGTGCATCCGATGAAAGGGGGGCGTGGGGGCACTTGCGTCAGCCGGGCAATGGCGGAAAAGCAAAGTGCAAAAGCGGGACGAGGGGGGGGGGGGCGGGAGGATGTGGCAAAGGTGCGCGTACGACTGGTCGTGAGGAGGACCCAGCACAGCTCGCGCCAGTGCTCGGCCGCCGGTAGCAGCCAGCCCGGCTGGCTGGCCAAGTGCTCATCCAGCACGAGCATCAGGGCGAAGGTTTCATCGAAGGCCATGGCCTGTGGCTGCCCGGAACCCGGGGCACTGGTCGGGCTGGAGCCGGGCCCGGGCCCGGCGACCGGCCCGACCGGGCCATTGACCGCTTGCAAGATCCGCCGGACCAGGCGAGTCTGGCGCCGGGCCAAGGAGGCAGGCCCTCCGGCTCCGGTGCGCAGAATTTTGCCCGCCATCGCCGGGTCCAGATCCGGGCAGGTGCTCGGGGCATCGGACCACTCGCACGCCTGTTGCAACTGCCCGGCCAGGCCCAGCAGCCGAGCCAACTCCACCGGCCCGGTGAGGCCCGGGCTGAAGCAGGCCCGGGCAAGGACCTCCGAAAGGTCGCGCAACTGGCCAATCCGTTGGGCCAGCGCATGCAGCGGCGCAAGGGCGTCCTGCTGCCCGGGGGTGGCGGCGGCCGCAGGGAGGATGGCAGCCGCGTCGGAGGCGGCGGCGGCGGCGGCGGCATCGATGGCCGATGTCGCCTCGAGGGCCAGATGCTGGACCAGGCGGCTTTCGGCGTCCGCGAGCATTTGCGCGTGGCTTGGGGCCAGGGTGCCGGCGGCCGCGGCCGCGCGCTGCCGGCGGGAAAGGCGCCCCCCCGGGGTGGCTGCCGACGGCGCGACAGCACCATTGGGCGGGGCCCCGGCAAAGCGCGAGTATGCCGTCTCCGCCAGCAGGGCCGCCAGACAGAGGCGCCACCAGGCGCGCTCATCCAGCAGCCCGCCGCCCGCCGAATTCCGGGGCATCTCCACAAGCAGATGCAGGACCAGGACTCGGTCCTCGATCTCGGCCGCCGGGCCAAGGGATTGCGATAGGGCCCCGGCGGCCGCGTGCAGCAGCAGGTCGCACAGCACCCGCTGGCATGAGAGCGGAGTCGAGTCGACCGGCGCGGCTGCCAGCAGGTCCGGCAGCAGCTGGCAGAAGAGGGCTCCGCCAGCGCGGCGACGACGGTCTTGCTCCACGGGAGCCGGGGTCCCGGAGCCGGACCCCGGGCGCAGGGCCCCGCCGAGGCAGGCGCGCAAGAGCCAATGCGCGCGCGCGGCGGCGGGCCGTTCCAGCAGGTAGGACCACCCGGCGGCCAGACGCCCGGTCGGTGCCGGCAGCCCGGCCAGGGCCAGACCCCGGGTCACGGCGCAGTACACCTCGGCCAGGGCCCGGCCCGGGGCCAGTTCCGCCTGGAGCCCGGCCTGCTCCACGCCGAAGCCCAGCACCCGGCGCCCCTCCCAAGGGGCCGCACGCTCGGCCCCCCGGTCCCGGCCAAAGGCCAGGTACCACTGGGCCATGTCGCTTCGGGACAGGGGCCCGGCTGGCGAGGTCAGCCGGCCGGCCAACAGCCCGGCCGGGAGCCCGGCCAGGGCCTCGGCCAAATCGGTCAGGCGCTCGCGCATGGCAGGCCCGCGCTCGGCCCAGTCTTCCGGCGCCCCTGCCCCGGGGCCCGGGGCATCGAGCCACAATTCACGACGGCCATCGGCATCCAGCCGGGGAAGGAGCCGCAGTACCGGGGCCAAATCCGCCGTGGCCGGCAGCAGCCACAGCAACAGCCGGCGGAAGGGCCAAAAGAAGGCCGTGTAGCGTGGCCCGGCGGTGCAAAGCCCGGCCAGGCTGGCCGCGCGCCCGGTCTCGGCCAGGCGTCGCGCGCAATACAGCAAATCCGCCCGGCAGAAGGCCCGAAAGACCGGGTCAAAGCCCGCCCGGCCAGGAGAGCTGGCGCCTCCCTCGATGCCGACCCCGGGCCCATCACCCAGGACAATGGCCTGGAAGGCGGCCAGGCGCCGGCGCAGGGCCAGCAGCCGGGCTCGGCAGGTCGCCGCTCCTGGTTGGCCCTCCAGCCCAGCCGTCAGTTGGAGGCCGACATCCAGGAGAGCGGCCCGCTCGAGCAGCGTTCCGACAGGGCGCCAGGCGCACAGACCGGCCGCCAGGAGGGGCTCCATGGCCGGGGTCAGAGCGCCGAGCGCCCGGTCGCGGATATCCCGAGCCAGTGGCGAGTCTTCCGCGGCCGCCTGAATGGCTTGGGCTGACAAGTCCCCACGAAGCTTGCCGGCCGCCGGATCCAGGGTCATGTGCCAGAATCGACAGCCGAGCACCGCATCGCGCAGGCCGGCGTTGCTCGGGCCCTCGTCCTGGACCAGAGCCAGGGCCCGGTCGAAGTCCCCAGCCTGGCAAGCATCGCGTACCCGGTCCGCGAGCGTCAGGCCGAAGAGCGCCGACAGGGAAACACGATAGCGGAAGAGGTCCTCCCGGGGGGGCGCCCCGGGGCCCGAGCCGGCGGCCGGCGCGGCAGCCGCCGCAGCGGCAGCAGATGCGCGGGCCAGCGCCGGGGACATCGGCGCCGGCGCCGGCGTGGCGAACAGCAGACCCTGGAGCAGGCGAAGGAGACGGTGCGCAAGCGGTTGACCATCGGCCTCGGCCGCCAGCAGTAACTGCTGCTGCTGCTGCTGCTGCTGCCCGGCCGGACGGGTACTCAGCGGCACGGTGTCCACCACCAGCAGGGGACTGACAAGAGGGGCCAGGTCCAGGAGCGAGCTGTCCCGCGGCGGGGACCCATCGCCCGACAGCAGCAGTGATAGTGATTGCAGGACGGCCGACATGTCGGACAGGTACGGCATGATGGCCGACAGGCCGGCGCCGGCCAGGATGGCCGAGCCCGCTGCATTGGGCGAGGCCGTCGGTGGCACCGCCATCGCCATGGTGGCCGACGCCGCCGCCGCCGCCGCCGCCGCCGCCGCCCAGGCCCCCAAATCGGAAGTCCGCAGCGGAAGGGAATCGCCGGCCGAGGTGCCACCGACCAGGGGGCTGTCGAGGTCCGGGCTAGGCAGGCGCAAGAGCCGCCATCCGCCGGAGGTGGTTGTGCACAGGGCCGTTGCCCGGCCCCACCAAACTGCCGTGGCCACCTCGTCGCCAGGGCCCAGGGCCACCGGGCGGAGGTGCTCGCCATCGGTGGCGGTGGCGGTGGCAAAGATCGCCAATTGTCGGCCGCCGGCCCCAAGGACCAGCACCTCGGCCAGGGCATCGGAGGCGACGGCCAGCGGCCGCAGGCGACACTGCAGGAAGTACCCGGCTGTGGGGTCGGCGCTGGAGATGGCCGAGCCGGTTCGGCCGCGCGCGCGCTTGCGCCCGGCCGCCGAGACAAGGGCACCCATTGGCAGGGGGAGGTCCCGGCGAATGGCCACGAGGCGATCCAGTTCGCGCGCGCGCTTGGCATCCGGCCGCAAATCCATCGCCGGCACGCGCCACAGGACGCCACCTTCACCGGCGGACCGGGAAAGGCCCGCTGCCCGGGCGGCAGCTGGCTTGGCGGCCTGTGGGAGGGTTTCCAGCCGGGTGGGGAAGTCCGCGGCGCCGGCAAAGCCCAGGAGCTCCAAGTCCCCCGAGGCCGAGCTCATGCGGAAGGCGCAGACAAGTGCACGGCCACCGAGGTCGGAGCCAGCCACGGCAAGCAGCCCGCCCGGGGTGGCATCGATGGCCGACTGGCATGACGGACGCGCCACGGTTAGCATGGAATGAAGGCACTTGGGCATGGGTCTCCCCCGGCTGATGCTCCCCCCCCCCCCCCCCCCCCCCGCCCCTTTTTTTTGCGTCTTCTTCCCACCCAAGGCCGAGACATACGATAAAGGAAAAGCCCCGGGGAGAGGGGCCCGGCAGGTCGGCGGCAATCGAGCGCAGATCCCAGCAGCGAGACACTTGCACCGGCCCCGGAGGACCGGCCAGCCCGGGCCATGTCGCCTCGCGGCCGGCCGGTGGCATTCGCGAGCCGACACACACCAGAATCTGATCCACGAAGCCGCCAGCACGGGCAAGGAACACCTCGTGTGTTGGCCGGGGGGCCGGGGCATTCGGGCTGCACGGCGGGGATGGGCAAAGTCAACAACCAGACACATGAGACAGGGACGTGGGCATGCTGCCAGCCGTAAATGGCCAAGGCGGGGGCGCACCGATCGACGATCACCGCATCAACGATGTCCCCGCAGCCGGGCTGCGCGGTGAAGTCATTGAGCACCGCGCCGAGGAAATGCGCCGGCTGGTGCAGTGCGAAGAAGGCCGCCGAGCCGTTGTGTGTGGCCAGACCCAGGGATTGGCCTGTTGGTCTGGGGCTTGCCCGGACCAATGCCAGCCGCCGGAGGGGATCCGGCAGGCCGGGCTGGCCCGGACCGGCTGGGGCCAGGCCGAACATCTCCTCAGGCAGGGTGGCCTGGAAAATGGCCTCACTGGTGGGGAGGACCAAAACCTGGGCCTGCACCGGGGCTGCCTGGTCGGGGCCCGGGCGCGGCACAGTGGGATAGGTCAGCAGCAGGTGAGCCGCCGCCGGGGGGAGGAAACTCGCGCAATCGGTCCCAGGGAGGGCCACCGGGGCGGCATCCATGCGCAGAGGCATGGCCGGGCTAAGGCGGCTGATCAGACTGGCCGGGAGAATGGGGTGCGGAGGTCCGGTTTCCGGGGGCGAGGCATCAGGCGCCCCTGGGTGATCGAACTCGAGTCAGGGCAGTGTTGCGGCCAGACACACGCACGCACACACACACACACACACACACACACCCCAAGCTGGGGGAGGGGGAGAAAAGGGAGAGGAAGAAGGGAAGAGAGCACGACCACGCCAAAGCCCACCGCATGAACCGGCATCGAACGCACAGGGGAAGGCCGCCGAAATGCTGGCCAGCAGCCGGGCCACGAGAGATTGATCCTCCGCATCCGGCCCATCGGCGGTGCGGCTCTCCGGCGTGCCGCCAAAGTCACCACCAGGAAGCGAGGCGATCTCCAATTGGCAAACCGGTCGGCGGTGGAGCTCCACCCCGGGTTCCAGACCACCCGGGAGGGGAGCCCCGGCCGGCGGCGGAAAGAGTGCCGGCAGGAGCGCCTCCATGGTCGGGCCCTCCTGCGGGGCGAGGTCCAGAAAGCCGGCCTCGGCCGACTGACTGTCGAGTGGCATGGCGCGGGGGCGGCCCAGGGCAGCAGGGTGGCGCTGGAGGGGCGAGAATCCTGCGACGCTGGCACGGGGATGTGTATATGTTGTGGGGCGAGAGAGCGAGAGAGAGAGAGAGAGAGAGAGAGAGAGGGAAGGGGGGGGGG